AATATTAAACTTTAAACGTGAACTAATAATTAATGAAAAAAAAAAAAAAAATAGGAAAATTCCCCATAAAAATTGATTAAATTAAAAACGTTGTATATATATGATGTATAGTTAAATATTATTCCTAGAATAATAAACTACAATTATTGATGAATATTTGAAAAATATTTACAATCGAGTCGTCTTTGGACTATTGCCACCCCCGCAGCGAGTTCTGGAATACGTGCGATACGTTGCCGAAGTGGTGCGTGTGGGACGACAGGTTGAATCCTTTGTGGGGGTGTGTGAAAGGTGCCTCGATAACTAGCCGGTGTTGTTCTATAACTTTCATCTTGAGATTTATAAGATTCATCTTGAGCCGTCTGCCATCCTTCTCCAACCGATATCGATCTGTGTTCATGTTTAAACATTTTTTTTTTTCAATTATTCCAACAAACATTTAAGTTTAATATTAAAATAAGACAAAATATGATATAATTTGAGGTTATACTCACGCATCAACAGGACAATGTCCGGTATGTTGTTCTTTTAAACCCGTACTATGTTTGCAATTACACATTTTCATTTACGATTGATATTTAATTATCGAATTAACTTTCAATTTGGAAGATTTTTCTATCGGATTTATTGCGGATAATTGAAAAATATAAAACAATTTTTGGATGGGATCACATATTGATAAATGTAATTTAAAAAAAAAAAAAAAAAAAAATAAAGTAGACTATCGATCGATATCGTATTCATTTCTCTCGATTACTCGATATATATATATATATATTCAATATTTGTAGGGACAAGAATATTACAACTCGAGATGATATTTTGTTATCTCACATACTTATACTAAATATATAGTTTTATTAAAAAAAAAAAAAAAAAAATCAAAATGATTAGTATACTGTGAATAGTATGTTGATAATTTATAATTAGAAAAAAAAAACAATTAAGCAAAGAAATTTCCATAGAAACATTTACATATTTTTTGATCAAGTACGTTATATCCACAGGTTCGAATAAGAGAAATTGAGGAAAGATTTCTGTGCTTATCATTGGATGAATCTATTTTGATAGAAAGAGAGAGATAATTGTCTTTCCATCTCTGTTACTCTTTCTCTCTCTGTCTCTCTCTCTCTCTCGATCTTTATAACGATCATGATCGTCATATTTGTGGTGCTTGGGTTACTTGTTTGCTTGGTTGTTATTTGCTCGCGCATTTGATAGTTCGTTGGACGCGTGCGCAAGACCACACACGGTGTGATATTCAAATGAGCTCCGTTTAAACTCGACTATCGTACTTCCATAAACGTCGTTCTGCGATTTCACGAGTGTATCTACACGTTTCTGTTGAACTCGCAAGATTCGCCGCACGCGGCACACATTCTCTTTCTCTCTCTCTCTCTCTCTCTCTCTTTCTCTTTCTCTCTTTTATTCTATGTAGATCGGATACGCGAGAGATTCTTTCGTAATAATTTATGCAACTTCGATCCTTGGGAAAATAACTCGTTCGCTCGTAATAACACGCTTATAGAATAGTAATAGATTCGTGAATTACGACTTTTCGTCTTTTATATTCTGCCATTATTATTATTATTTTTTTCTCCCCCTTCTGTTTTAAGATTTTAATATACTGACAAGAGAGAGAGAGAGAGAGAGAGAGAGAGAGAGAGAGAGAGAGAGAGAAAAATAAATGCGTCGAACTGCGGATGATATTTATTCGAAATTTCGTCTTTTTTTTTTTAACGATCTATTCCTCAATCGACGATTAAAATAACGACGACGTTTTTATTTTTTATTTTTTTGTAACAGTTTAACGATGATCGAGAGGAGTAGACCATAATAAAATTGTTTTTAAATATAACAACGATAATTGAATGGCTGAAAAGGTAATGGGTACAAATTAACATTTTTCTTTATCATTTTGTTTTGTTTTTTTTTTTTTTAATTAATTTGTAAACAATTTTTTTTTTCTCTATGTAACATGAAACGACTAACTGGTGTATATAGGAATGCACGAATCTTCCTTCGTTTTCTTGGAAACTGTTAATTATTGGGTCTTACATCTTGCACAATCTACAGTTCTATAATGGATTCGTATAACTGTGTAGAGTTAAAAAAAAAAAAAAAACCATTGGTATTTTTGGAAAGTTTGATGAAGCCTTTGTTAGTCCAATTTCAAAATTATCGAAACAATTATTGAGCTATCGGAAACGACGGGATGTTAACTATCAAGTTACATTTTCAACGTTATTTTATATCGGATCAATTGAAATGAAAGGGGGTTGGATTTTGACAGGTTCTGTAATTCAAATCCGAAATCAAATGAATTTAACGGCTATCATTTTTCACCTAAGTTTCGGCGCCGTTATAGCACTTCGGCGCCTCACGATCAGTATCATTCGATATTTCATATCATGTATAAGTTTTACCTTTTCGTTTCTTTGTGTTTCTTTTATTTGTCTTTCTCCCTTTCTGTTATTTTTCTCTAACAGAGTTATTGATTGATTTGTTTTCCATCTGACACTCTTTACTGTATTATCGATAGTAGAAAGAACCTTAGAGAAGGATAAAAATTGTAATATCCTTTGAATACCATTGGCAACGTAGATAAAGTAGAATTTTATTAAAAATACGTCCTCTTTTTTTTTGTCAACTTATTTTTATTCGAAAACTCGATGCGTATAATTCGAACGTGTACGATCAAAGAGAGTTGCACTATTGATCGTTAGATATCACGTATTTTGTGAAACAACGTGTTAGTTTGTTATGATAGTGTCATAATCAGTTTGAAACTCTTTTTTTTTATAATATTTGCCAAAATATAGTGGTCAAAACTTATTGTTTATAAATGAATTACGCGTTAGAATTTAAAACGAGCCCAATTGTTGTTTTTCAAAACGTGATATTCGTTGAATCATAAAATAACGACGAATAATTATTACTCGAATTACAAATGAATATTATACTTGAAAAAAAAAAAAAATATCTTCACATTATTCTTTAGTGTATATTACATATAATATCGAAAAGAAACATTCACGAGTATGATTATATTTTACGAGAAATTATAATTTTGCAAATAGGACCGCCGTACCGTTCGATAAGTCCGATCTAAGGTAACTTTTGATATAGTAATTAATAAAAGTTCATTAGTTTATTAATTATTTTAACGAATCCTATTCAATGGGGGGTATTCGATCGAAAATCTATCTCGTGGTCGATGATAAAAAAGAAAAAAAAAAGAAAAAAAAAAAGACGAAGAAGTTTAGTAAAGTTGTCGGGTTTCTTCTACCTGGTCACCGATCAGGACGTACGATCGATCGATCGTAAAGAGAAAATATAAATGTTAGCAATCGCAATGTGAGAAATTAACATTATGCGGACTCAGCGGGTGGTACGGTAAAGCTGATCATCATCGTATAGGAGCAAAGTGAAGAGTGTTCCACCTTGCTTGGCGCGTTCGGAATGTCCCTGGAATCTTCGTGGAATGCAGAAGGGGGAATGAACACCTTGCGTTAATTTATCGAGTAGTCGAAGATCGCGGTTTAATCCGTTAGTAAACTCTCGAGCTTCTTCTTCTTCTTCTTCTTCTTTTTCGAGAAATGGTAAGGGAACCATTCAAAGAAATTTAAATAAAAAAGGAGAAGGAAGGAAGGATAATAATGATGATGATAATGATGATGATGATAATGATGATGATGATAATAATAATATTAATGATTATGATGATGATTATGATGCACGATATCATTTCAAAACTAATTACGAACAACTACCCTATCTACGAATCAGCGAAACTATTTCCAGATTTGTTTAGTATCGTTTTTAATATCTGATTTATCTCAAACTAAGATAACGCTCGTTTTCATGATTATTATATATTCCAAGGTGTTATGTAAAATAATAGAAAAAAGTACATGGATAAAATAGATGAGGATTATTAATCGACACTTTAACACAATGGTAATATTCGGTGCGAGATGTTAATCGATAATCAAGTAAAAGTCGTTATAAAATAAGGTCGATTTTCAGTTTTGTTTTTTCTTTTCTTTTTTTTTTCTTCTTCTTCTTCCTTTCTATATAAAAAAAAAGGCGCGGATTGACAGGGAAAAATAATATGACATTAGCATACGAGTTTATCGAGGTGGTGGAGGCTCTAAACGGTGCTAAGTTATGGTCATAATTCGTTGTAAGGTTCAGATCGGGTGAATAATTAATGATTCGTTTTTTTCAGATCGAGCCCAGGGCGCGATTTACTTTAACGATGTAATTCGAAATTGATTTGACTTCTTAATGCCATTCAGTCGCGCAAGGTCTTGTACTTTGTGTAACTCAGGGTGTGTAACATCGAAGCTCTTAAGGTTCATTACCATATTCCTTCGTTTACCGTGCGCGAGTCTTTGCATACCTATTACACAGCTATTACACTGTCACTTGCCTCTCGACCGGTTACCATATTTGAATATTTATTTAGCTGATTATTTTTTTAACGAGAGACCCTGGAAATTCGATAACCAGAAGTTTTCGGTACCGCATTGCCGCGAAACTTGTCAATAACGGGAGAGTTAAAGGGGGCGGCTGTTGAATATAGGGTGGTGGTGATGGTGGTAATAGTAGTAGTAGTAGTAGTAGTATACAACCATAGGTAGCCCATTTCCAAAGAGTATATCTTGGCTTCTGCAGGAGTCTTCTTCTTCTTTTTCTTCTTCCATGGATTTATTACAAGAAGAACGTTTTGACTCAACTTATTAATATAGCCATTAATCATTATTTAATGGCAGCGATGAACGATCAATGGATAAATCGATAAATTGATTTCGTATTAATGCAATTTGCGCCAATGAAAAAAATCTTTCTTCGAGATAGAACATCGACGAGGAAAAGAGAGAGAGAGAGAGAGAGAGAGAGAGAGAGAACACAAAATTCATCTTTATTTAGATATACGTCGAATAGATAATGTTGCTAGATAAATAAATATCTTTTTCCTATCTTTCTCATTGCAGATTTTTTGACACGATGGACAATTTCATGGCTACCGCTGGAGAGGGTGAGTGTTTTGTTTTTGTTTTTGTTTTTGTTTTTACATTTATATTTATATTTATATTTTTTATTTATTTATTTATTGATTTTTTTCTTTTTCTAATTCAATTCACGCCACGTTGAATTATTAGTTTCCGTCAGATCATTATTAAAGTCAATCAAAGCACGTATTGGAGAAGCACGATTAATAAAATGAATGGATGATTCGTTTGGAAAAAAACAAATACAAACGGTATACTGTTAATTTTAAAAAGTTGATCAATAGACGTGATTTTTATGATAACATTTTAAAAAAAGTGTGATTAGGCTTGCGTAAAGAAGAAGTCATTTGAATTCGTAAAAGGAGTAAACAAGAATAACAAGAAAAAGAATACCGAATATAATAAAGTTGTTGTTTTTTTTCTTTTTTTTTTTTTGGATTCCTGATCAATTTGTTTAACGAGTTGTTTTAACGGGGAGAGCACGCGCGTTTTATACGTTTATTACAAATATAACAAAACAAATTCTATTTATATCTATGATTATAATCTTACCGAGAGACTTCCGTGCTACTACGAGAGTTTGGAATTTTCTTTTTTTTTTCTTCTTCTTCTTGAAAGATAAATATAATGAGATACGTAGTAAAAAAGTCAAGAAAGAAAGAGATAGGTCGAAGAGACCTATCATTGATTCCTGCAGGTTGAACGAAAGAACGGCAGGGAAGGAAAAGGATAGAACAAGATGATCGGTAAAGAGAAAGAGAAAGAGAAAGAAAGAAAGAGAGAGAGACAGAACGAATCTCGAAGTTGGAAAGATCGAAAGATCGCCCACGCACGGGACTTGTATACCGGACCGTTGTTAATTATCCGCCGCCGTTTATCAACCGTTCAAGAAGAAAAAGAAAGTTCCCTTTGAGCTCGTTCTTTCTCTTTCCACGTATCTCTCTCTCTCTCTCTCTCTCTCTCACACACTCTCTATCTTTTTTTTATCTATCTATCTATCTATCTTCTTCTTTTCCAAGCAAAGTAGAATAGGAATAAAATTAAAAAAAAAGAAGCTTCTTCTTTACCATCAGAAAATTGTCTTTTTTTTCTTCTTCGATATAAGTCGTTTATTTTGAAAGTGGCGTAAGTTCTACCATTTATGTTCGAATCGAGATATTGAAAGGTTTGCGTTGAATTAAATTTAAAAATATAAATAACAAATGACATATCGTGGAATAATGTTTTTTTTTTTTTTTGTTTCTAAGGGTGTCAAATTTATCATTTTAATTAGCATAGTTAACTTTATTTAAGGAATAATATGTTTATTGATGACTATGATTAGACTTACGTCACTTTCAATATAAACTCATTCATTACTTCATTAATCAGAACAAATTTTCCTCTTACAAAATCTTAATGATTTTTTTCAATCTATTAGTAATTAGTTGCTTTTCATAATGAAAAGATTCATGTAAAGGTGTTGTAACTATTAAGGGCGCGGGGTAAGGGTTTTCACTTTCGAAAAATCGACTTTTTTTTTGTCTTATCTTATTGTTTAACATTTCAAGAATATGTCCTTAAAATTTTAATCCGATCTAAGCAATATTCTTGAAGTTATTGTCAAATTCTTTCTTTTTTTTTGGAAAATGGACTTTACGCTACTTTCAAAATAAACGGCTCATATGGTATTTAAAAATCAAAGTTTTAGTTCGCCCTTTTTCTTCTCGTAAAATTGAAACTCAATAGATAAAGATAAAGATAAAGAAATTTTCTAATTCGGTAAATCGAAGTTAAAAGAAAAAGAAGAAAAAAAAAAACAAACAAATAAAGCTTTAATCTTGTTCATACGTATAAAATAATCTTCAATTTTATTGTTAATATTTATTATCATCATCATCATCATCATCATAGTCATCATCGTCCTCCAGCGAGGATGAAGGGGTGTGGAGAGGGGAGGGAGGGTGAGGGGGAGGGAGAGTGGTTCGATTTATGAGGATCTGACGAAACGAGAGATTATTAATCCGCTCGTTAATATGCAACAGCGTATCAATCGATTCTTGGGCATCTCTTCTCATCTCGGTGTATTTTCTTACTTCTTTTCTTCTACATCCCTTTTTTTTATTATTATTATTATTATTATTATTATTATTATTTTGATATACTCACGTTGATAGTGCTCGTGATCATGCACGAAAAGTGGATCGTGGGAAAAAAGTCACGAAAGTTAGTTCGAATCGAAAGGAGTCGTCGTTCATCTCGTGAGGGAGGACGTATGAACGTACGTACGTATGTATGTGTACATATACGTACACGTTCTGTTTGGTGAAACGAGTCTCGAAACACACAACACGCATTCCAAAGACAAAAAAGGAAAAGAACCGTGTGGTTCATCCATTGGTTCTTCTCATTCTTTCATTTTTATTTTTTAATTTAATTTAATCTTCTTTTTCCTTTACTTAACAGCATTGTTTTGTGATCGGATCAATTTGACTTACAATTAGAAAATTTATCTTTTCATTCATTTGCTATTATTTTGTAATTGAATATTCAAGTAAAACGATATTATAAATAAACTTGTTTTTGTTTTTTTTTGGTGATTATAAATAAATTGTATTTAAATATTGAACTATTATAATATTACTTTTTGTTTGTTTTGCTACGATAAATAGTTTAATAATCATCTATGTGTATAATGATACACAAGTGATTTTGCAAATATATCTCTTGTTACGTTGCGTTTTCCTTTTCTAAAGAAAATATACTTTTTGACAAAAATATATTTACTCATTATTATTATTTATTACTATGTATAATATTTATTACAAATTTTTGTTGAATTTAATACTCACACTCACATATGATATATACATAAATACTTATTACTTATTATATATATATATAATACTTATTATAAATTCTTGAATTTTCTTTAAATAAATTACAAGAGTATGTAAAAGGACACACACATATTTTATATATATATATATATATTTTTATTACTTATTACTTATTACTTATTACTATATATATATATAATACTTATTATAAATTCTTGAATTTTCTTTTAAAATACGAGAATACGTAAGGGGACATATATATATATATATATATATATATATATATATATATATGTGTTTACTGACACGCAAGATTTTCTCATTAGCGATTTCACCGAAGGCGGCACTTTATGAGAAAGAAAGATAAGCCTACAGCGAGTCCATTTACAGTGGCTGGTGATTTATCGGGCGCAGAACATAAGATGTCGTTAATCGTTCGCATCCATCGTCGAAGGCGTACAACTTTGGCGTTTGTAAAAAGCCTCCTAGCAGATTCTCCCTTACCCTTTTCTTATACTTCTCTCTCTCTCTCTCTTTCTCTCTCTCTCTCTTTCTTTCTCGTATTTCTGTGTTTTCTTCTTATTATACGTCATCACTACCGTCTAACCACCGTTTTCGCGTAATATACGTAAAAGATACTCGAGAAACGTTTGATCGTTTCTTCGATTGATTTAATACAGCAATATGTAATCGAAGCCCTTACCAAAAATTCATTCGTACTTTTTACTCCACCCACGCTATGACAATATTTTCTCATTTATTGTATGCACGAGAGAGAGAGAGAGTTTGTCGACGTTTAACAACCCACCGTTTGTCCTTCCACCGTTTTCATCGACTCTCTTACATTTATTTATTTTAAATATTGACGAAAACAACGAAACTTTTGCCGCCTTTGACAAGTATTCGATTGGTTGTTTTATTTATTTATTTTTTTTTTTTTTACATTTTATTGTATTTTTTTTCTCTCTCTCTCACTTTTTCTTTTTTTTCTTTTATTTGGATCTAAAACAAAGTTTATCTGAATAATACGTGAAAAACTTTGGGAGTAAGTTTGAGGGATCTAAATAACTAGAAAATGTAACCGTTGGGAACAATCGGGGTCAGAAACGGATTTTCTACTATTGAAGTTACGACAATTCGAACTGAACTTTTTACTGCAATAACTGGAAAAATTATTACGTCAAATCGTTCTTTTTTTTTTCTTCTTCTTCTTCTTTTTTCTTATTTTTTGACTTATCGCATATAGTATACTGTGTTATGTTATTTACGTGGATAGAAATATAGTTTATAACTTTAATGCGATTCGACGTGATAATTTATCAAGTCGATGGAAATAAATAATAGAACCTTGGAATTTATTCTTCAAGTTTGCTCACATTAACACTCAAACTTACCCGACACTTCTTCATGTATATCTATTTATACAGTTAAATGATTTCTTTAAAAAAAAACAAAATAATTTCTTTTTAATACAAAATAAGATTTTAGAGCAAATTGAATAGTGAATAATATTTATGTTTTTTTTATATTTACAAATAAATAATGTACATTTTATACATTTTCATCGCATTTTTTTTTTTACAAAATTACATCATTCGATTTGCGTGAGTAAGTTTAGTTTTAATCAAAAAACGTCTCGTATTTATCTCATATTTTCGTTAGTTATTAGATAATTAATTATGAAATGTCTAATTTTTAACTGAAGTAATCGGACGTTTGATATTCATCGATTTAATACAAATCGAATAATAAATACATTCTTTAATTTCATATAAATCATTAAGTATGTATATCTAACGAGTATTATGTAGGACAAAACTGATATTCAGTTCTTTTCGTTATATTTTATGTTCTGAAAAGGAAAATCTCTATTCGGAAACTAAAGGGAAAGTTTAGGAGGGCCATAAAACCATAAAACAAACCTTAGAATTATCGGGATATATTGGTGCAATAAAAATCCTTTGTACAGTGTCGGGACCCATTGAAGAATTTCGGATTTCTATGTAAACATATGCGATACCATAAAAAGATCAAGTTTCTTTATGCATAGTTTCCACTATCAAAAACTATAGGCTGTACCCATCGGTGGATTCTTATGTTATTGGTCAATAAGATTTATAATCTCTTTCCCTCTCCAAAGGGGTGTAGCTCATTTCTGATATAAATATGTGGAAAGAAGTAAGAAAGTGTTCTTAGTCAGTCTTCAGTCTTCAGTTAGTCCGTCTATATCAGTCCTTAGTCAGTCTTCAGTCTTCAGTTAGTCCGTCTGTATCAGTCCTTAGTCAGTGTTCAGTCTTCAGTTAATTCGTCTGTATCAGTCCTTAGTTAGTCAGTATCTGTCTGTGTGTTAGATCTGTAACTATTCTTGCATTCTGTATTTCTGTAACCACGCCACTTTGTATGAACTTATGTAAATACCGTTCGACATCACATCATCATAATCTAATAAACTATATTATATCATTTTCAGTTATAATTATATATATATATATTTCTCTTTCTGTCTGAAACTATCACCCGCACAATTACAAAAAAACAAAATGAAAATAATTAGAAACTTGAATAACGCGTGTTACGTAAATTGAAAAGTGTAAGAGAATAAAAAAACCACATTCTTGAAAATATGTGCAAACGTGGCAAATCGTTTAAAACATTTTAGGAGAGTGAGGGGGGAAATCAAAGGGTCATGTTAAGTTCGATATCATCGCTAGATAAGACAAAGTTTAGGAAAAAGCTATAAAGATAATTCAAATTGTATTTTGAAAACAAGCAGAATCGAGTAATCGATTCCAAGTATAAGTCTCTCTCTCTCTCTCGTGAAAGAGAGAAAAAGAGTAGAAAGAAAAGGTTTTTCTCAGTAATCTCGTTGAAGATCGGTTCATTTACCGGCGCTAGGTCTTTGGTGCACCACAGGGGTGCTCGCTCCAGATTCGCATTAGATCCAGACGTGATTCTTCTCAGAATGACGTCGTATTCCTAAAAAGATGTATGCGCACACGTAAACGAAATTTTAACATTCTAGATGACCTCGTGATAGTTAACAAACGTGAATCCAGTTTGCGATGAAAGAGAATTTATTTTACGTACGTGAAAGATTGTCTAGGCTCTCTCTCTCTTTCTCTTTTCTTAGATCTTTCGTAAATTTTTCTACAAATCGTGCTTAAGATCTTGGTCGTAGATTTGAAAAATCATTAACTTTAATAAATTTCACGGCCAAGTTCGAGGAGGGTTCTTTTTTTTTTGTTTTGTTTTATAACGAACAAGCTACACTTGTAAAATTTGTTAAATGAGTTTGAAGAACGCAAAAAATAAAAATAAATGTGTGTGTGTGTGTGTGTATATGGAAAAAAATTGAAAATAAAAAGTTCTTTACTGCGATCTTATTTTAAGGGTTTCTTTTTTAAAAAAAAAAAAAAAAGAAAAGAGGTTGTGAGCAAGCAAGCAGGTAAAACAGGTAAACAGGCAGGCGTATCACGCGTACTTCGACATCCACTTAATTCGCACCGAAGCACGATATAAAGAGGTACAAACTGCCACGAAAGAGAGTACTTGGTACTTATCTCTTTTTCCTTTTCCTGGGTTAAAGGTTAAAGAGTAAAGAAAATATATATTGTATATATACACACATATATAGAAGGTAAAGAAAGTGGTGAAGGAGACTACTCTCATTAAGGTCGAACCTTGAGAAGGTGTCGCCATGACCTGGCTTTACTTACCCCCCCCCTCCTCCCCACCACTATTCCCCCTTCTTCAGTCACGATCACTCAAATTCGTCGCAGTTTTTTTCACTGTTATTTGCGATAATATTATAATCAGGCCCTTTGTCGAACACCAAAGAGAGTACGTACCATTTTCTGTTGAAGCTTTCTTCATTCACAAAATTAATGACCCGTGGAAATTGTACCCCCCCCCCCTTTTTATCGTGGATCTTTTTATTGAACCTACTTTGGGTATTTTGTTGTTTTTTGTTTTTTCTTTTTTACCCAATTAGATGTGTCCTGGTTATACTCACTATCATCTTTCTCTATCATTTGAACTTTGTCGATTTATTTTGGATAGCATTGGATTTTTTTCTGGGGTTTTTTTTTTTTTTTTAATTGTATGAAAAAAAAAAAAAGAAAAAAGAGAGAATTTTTATTACAGCCAGTTATTACATAGCACGATAGCTTGTTTTAACATATTTATTTGCAATAGATCAAGGATCTACGTAACAGATCGCATGTTTTTGTCCGATTCCGTGTCCGATGGCACAGCCATTGTTCGGGGTAATGACACATTCGGAAAAATTTATGGACTTTAAAAATTGAACGTACTCGGGGAGTTTCGAATTCGCGTGACCCAGTTCTTTTAAACTTCTAGAAACGTTTTGTAGGAGTAGTACGTTATCGAAGTTTGGTGCGTCAGACACGTTAGTTATATCCGTGGAATGACGTTCGACGTTTCGTTACATTTTTCATTTAAGAATCTAACCTGTGCTCAACGATGCATAAAACTTGTCTTTTTTCTCTTCACTTTTTAACCCTTATTTGATTTTACTTTTATTGGTTTGTTTTTTTAATCATCTTTTTCTTTTTTTTTTTTCAGACGATGTCATAGGAGTACATTGCACACACGGTATAAACCGCACTGGATATCTTATTTGTAGGTAAGGAAATAATCAACCAATCGTATCGATAGTTATTATTTTTTTTTTTTTTGAAGTGAAAACTACTTTAGAATGGGAGTGATATGAAAAGTAAATAAACGGAAACGGAGCTATGTAACGAAGCTATGAAACGGCTGCCATAATAAATAATGAGAGAAAATGAGACAAACATAGGATTTACACTGCGAGGGAATGAGACGGAATATAGCTATACAGTTTTTCCTATTTTCGGTCTCCTCTTTATGCTATGCTTCGTAGTTATCGCTCCTGGTTGTATATGTGTGTGTTTGTGTGCATTTCCATACTACGAAGAGTGGACTATTGGACAGACCCTACGGAATTATCGGAAAGACCTTACTACTTTTCGGAAAAAACCTTACTAGAGAGGTGTTTACTACACTGACAGAGGTGTTTAGTTACCATGCATTTTGTAGGTACCAGAAGCAACTCGTCTCATTTCTTTGAATGTAGAACTTGCTTACTGTGTAATATGTTATCTATTTATATATGTTTTCAATAAAACGTATAATAATTGTTGAATGTGATAACAATAATATAATAATAATATTATAACAAATAAATCCTACAATTATCCTACTCCTGCATATTCTGCAGTCGTCTCATTCTCTCGAAACTTAGATTTTTGAAGGTTTCACTTCTAACACGTGTGATCTGCCCACATGATATTTTTTGTTGTTGTAATTTGTTTGCAAATTATTTTCTATAAAAATCAAATGTATCATTTAAATAATATCAATTTATTTCTAAATGATGTATAAATTGTTGTCTTCTTTTTTTCATGGATAATATTTTTCATTTAATTATTCGATTACAGGTATCTCATTGAAAAACAAGGCTGGGAGTTGCAAGATTCCATAAAAGGTATATTAATAGTAAAACTATTAACTGAATTTTTTTATTTACCAAAGGGCTTAACGTTGTGTAAAAAAAAAAAAAAGAAAAAAGCAAACAAGAGAAAAGAAATTAAATTAATTAGTAAGAATTACAATTGAATTTTAACCGACGTGGTAATACATAATTAAAATGAAATAATGATTTCGGAAATGCGTATGAACGAATCATTAAAAAAATCTATAATTATTTATTTTTACTCGAGAACAAACGAAAACAATTTCACATCATTCGTCAATTTACGTCATTTGCACGACAAGATGCGGAAATCGGGGAGGCCTTAGTGTCACGTGGATCTCTCAAGTCAATTTTCATGTTTCACGGAAAATAACCTCAGTTCTGATTAAACCATGTGTATTCTTCTATCTTAAACGGGTAATTGATTTTTTTTTAAATGAACATTAGGTAGAGAGAAATCGCGTGAGAAATATATTTAGTTGCTTCGATCGATGCTATTTAAATATCATATTATCGTATTTAATTTGGTTTGTAAAGATATTACAATCGTATGTCGAATAGGCGTATAGAATGAATTAATTATGTATCAATTAGAAAAAAGAATAAACAAAAAAAACAAATAAAAATTTAACGTTACAGCTTTCCAAGAGGCACGTGGCTATCCGATCTATCGTGACGAATATATCACTGCACTTAAGAAGATATCACGTGGTGAAAAAAAAAAAACCCTGAATCGATCAATTAATACACGAAAAGATTCTATACCAATCAGAAACGTTCTTGATCAATATAAGTTAAGAATAAGAAATCCAAAGGGAAGACCAGCGCCATATCCTATGGGCCCGTCGCCAGGATATAAACCACACCGTCGTGGATTTACCAACGGTGCGTATCTACCACAACCTTTTGGTTTTGGTGCTCCACCACATGGATTTGGCTCGATGCCTCCTCATCCACCTGGTATGCCACCACCACCACCAGGTCCACCAATGTATGGTCCACCAAGACCAATGAGATTTGGACTACCACTTCCTCCTCCACCACCACCAGCTATGAGAGCACCCATGCCACCGTTGCCACCTGGTCCAGATTTCAGGAGATCAGTTGTTAATTCAGGATTTCATCCGCCAGCTTTCCCAAATAGATTACCAGGCCCATCGAGAATGTCTGGTCCACCTAGATTACCACCTGGTCCTCAGTCACGATTACCACCTCCTAAAATGCCTCCCCCTCCGCCACCTCCTCCGCCGCAAGTTAGGCAAGTTAGTGTTAAGCGACTTCAAGGCAATAAAAAGAAACAGCAACAACAGCCACAGATTAGAAATGGCATGGCTGTATTACCCAGGAGTTCAATGAGACTGACCAGACGCGAAGTCAGTACAACCAGAAGAAATGTAGCTACGAAAATGATTAAAGAACAAGATTTTACGGCGGACACATTTGAAGAAAATTTATTAGCTGTCTCATCGACAAATTCGCATTTGCGTAGATCAACAACCAAAGGACGATATCATCAGACTAAGTGATGACGTGCTATATAGGATGGGCGATTATTATTTTTTAAGACTTGCATAAAAGATATGTTATGTGTAACGACGTCATCTACATCGTACGCCCAAAAGTGTTGTTTTTAAAAAACCCCTTATGGCAAGATTTTCAAGATAAAACAAGAAGAAAATGTGATTTTTTTCCAAGATCTCGCCGTTCATATTTTGCGGAACGGTCACGGGCAAATCCGAGAGAACGTAAGATAAAACGTCTGGACAATGAGACGTATAAAAAAAACAAAAAAAAAAAAAACTTCTATTTCTCTCGATGTTTATTCCTATTATGTAAAGATCAACGAAGGAGCTTTGTTGATTTCTTCGTAGCCTCATTGATTATTTAGACATTTATATATATATTATATATATAAGATATATATTATATATATATATACATCGACTAAAAAAAAAAAACATAAATTTGAAATATGTTATATCTTCGTCTTTCAATCCGAACAACACGGCTCTCATTATCTCGGTAAAAATCTGTTTAGATTTCACTATTGCTACTACTACTACTACTACTACTATTGCTACTACTACTACTCTACTACTACTACTATACTACTACTACTACTACTACTACTACTATACTACTACTACTACTACTACTTTACGTTTAAGGCTATGTCCGACATTGTCTAAAATAAACGCACTTTATTGGTAAGTTATTATTTTCTGTCGACAATTAAAAGGACGAATAAAAATTGGATTATGTTATATCGTAATGATGTACACAATCGTCGTTTAAAAACACATATAAATGTAGTTACGTTCGGATGATGTAGAAGCATTTGATACGTCTCGTATCTTACTTCAAAAGATTAAAATGATTCAATATTCGACCTTGGTCAGGGATCACGCGTGTAGGTGGGACATTGTACGTACGCATTCTATATCATAAAATGAATGTACGAGCTTCTTGTACGTGATATTCATTCCTGGATAAATTTCTGGCGCCTGCTGACGTTTCTTCTTCTTCTTCTTCTTCTGGTATACTTTTGAAGCTTCACTGATAGATTACACCTGTAAGAAAAATCGTCTAAGAAAGTCTTATTTCGACTTTCTTTTCTCTTTTTAGTAAGTTGGTTACATAGTTAAAAAAAGAAGAAGAAGAAAAAGAAAAAGAATAAGCAGTAGTTTCTAAGCCGTTTATTGGTCAAACTTCGAATACAATTGACGATTTTAATGGATTTTATTTTTTCAAACGGCCTGTAATGTAAATGTTTTCAAAAAGTTAACACATTATACGAATTCTTGCCTACATCACGATGATACATAAATTCTTAAATCCATTCAATGCACTTAATGCAGAATTCACGTTTTATTTTATATTTATAAGCTATAGATAGAAAGAATGAAAGAAAGAAAGAAAGAAAGAAAGAAAGATATAGAGAGAAAATGTGTGTGTGAATGTGTATGTGTGTGTGTGTGTGTGTGTGTGTGTGTGTGTGAGAAAGAGAGAAAGAGAGAAATAGAAAGATTCGATAAGCATTTAAAGAAGATCTCTCAACAAACTACAACTACCAACTATGATGACAAGGACGACGACGATGACGACGACGATGACGACGAAGAAGACAAAGGACGATGATGACGACAACGCGAGTTCAAACTGGAAAACTTTGGAGAGGTGGAAAAATCATTCTCGCGGAAACAATTTCGATGCAATTTTCTATTAGAAAATGTCAAAATCCTGTAGAGACAAGTTTTTGTTTACATTTCTCTTATATTTCTTACTTTTTTTTTTTAACTCCACGTAGGTAAGATAAATTTTCTTTTCAAAAGTTATTATTATTATTTCAAAAATCTCTGACAAAATTCGGTAGTAATAATCTTTAGAGTTTCTATATAATATTGTTTAATATTTATGTTTTTGTTAATTATTAACATTAAATATATATATATATATATATATATATATATATAGAATAAACTTAGTTATTCGAATAGAGTATTGGTTTAAGAAAACCAAAATGTTACCGGTGAATGGTTAAATTGAGATTACAGTTATTTGTTCTAACATTATTCGATATTTACGTAACTTGAATAGATATTAAATTGATCTACGTAATTTCTTAATTCTTTGAGAAAAAGTAAGTAAATAAATAAATAAATAAAGAAAGAAAGAAAAAATGAGAGAGAGAGAGAGAGAGAGGTAGATAGAAAGATAAATGAGAAAGATACGGAAAGAGATAATAATAGTCTATTATTTTGACTTTATAACATAATTTTACGTTTAAACGTTTAAATAACATTAAAAGAAAAGTAACGAATAAGTTGGAGATACACTGATTTATCTCGTGAATCGTTAAACAACAATGTTAAAGTAACGTAATTATGGTGAAATACATTTCAGGTAGAAAATCACTGTAAAAACGATAATCTTAGGATCTAACTATCGGTGCTGTGGTCTCGAAACGGCCTCGTTGATGCGTCTCGACGCTGGTTTCGTTCGAACTTTTCGAATAATTTGTAAAAAGCTTGAGGAGGGACAAACAAGTCCATAAAGAGTGTGCTTTCTCTGCGTTTCCTTTTCTATACTTTCACGATTCCTTCCTCTTTTGCTTTCTATCTTTCTCTCTCTCTCTCTCTCTCTCTCCCTCTCTCTATCTTTCCTTCTCTATCTCTCTTTTCGTAGTTTCTTCTTTCGATCAGTCTTTTAGTCGAAGTTTTACGTCCGTTTCGAGGTGCGACGGATCGAGGAAAATGTTAGAAATTCGCTATGTGTATAACTCGGAATTCTTGAACTCTCGAAACTGCGATATCGATCCGCCTTCCTGTTTCTCTCTCTCTCTCTCTCTCTCTCTTTCTTTTTCTGTAGAAAATATTTCTCTTCGTAGTTTTGAAAAACATTCCGAAGTCCCTCCTTATCAATGGATATTACAATTTTAACTTACGCACCAAAAGAATATTTCCTCTTTCCTTTTTTCTTTCTTTTAATCGTGATCAATTTTTATTACGTTCTTATTTTTATTCGATAATTCTACCATTTTCTCTCTCTCTCTCTCTCTCTCTCTCTCTTTCCCTTTTTCTCTTTAACTATTTCTCTCTTATCTATCTCTCTTTGTCTCTCTTTCTATCTGTCCTTTCTTTGTGATTTCATTTAAACGGGGATACCGAAGAAGATATCTTGCAAAACTATACCTCGAACGAGCTGTAATTCTTTTGATGAAGAAAGGATTTGTGAGAAAAAGGAATTAAAAAAAGAGGGAGACAAGAAGACATAAAAAAGAGAAAAAAAAAAGAAAAAAAATATATATATATATATGTGTACAAAAAAAAAAAAGTAAGAAAAAAGGTTGCACTGTTCGGCCGATCTGGCAATTAGTCACGATTAATTCCTCAAAAATGAGAAGGGAACGTGCACGTGTCTGCGGTAGGTAAGGATACACGGGTTGAATCTTCTGAGAGTCAAATAATAGGAGGCTAAAGGCTAACCACACACGAGGTCCCAGAATAGTCTACCTTTTCTCTCTCTCTCTCTCTCTTTCTCTTCCTATAAACACATATACACATATACTCATATAGAAAAAATATATATATATATATGTATACTCACTTTTTGTTATTCTTGTTGTTCTTGTTTCTATATTCATCATCATCATCATCATTATCATCATCATCATCATCGTACAACGTATTTGATCTAGACGCGTGTATGTGTTTCTCATTGGCAGGCAAATACGATACGTGGCAGTGCACTTTAATGCAACGACGTGCGGCCTACTTAACGGTCTGCTTGATTAACATGGAATGATTAATAGTCCGTTCTCTCCCCTCTTGTTCGTAAGCAACAACCCCATGGCACCAGCCGTAACGCCGCCATCGGAGATTCTAATCGCACGATATTTATTGCCTTACGCGTCCTTTACCCCCTTTCACCCACCCTACTTCACCCTACGTAAGACGAAAGAGAGATAGAGAAAGAAGACGGTTTTTTTTCTTAACCCTTTTTGTTATTTTTGTTTTCTCCCCCCCCTCCTCCTCCTTTCTTTTCTTTTTTTCGACCCCTCTTCTTCCCCTTCCCATTTTTGACCACACCGATTTTGCAAGAGTAAAGACTCGATCATTTTTTTTTGTTTTTGTTTGTTTTTTTTTCATTTTTTCCCCTTTCCCTTTTTTTTACGTTTTACGACGTTCCACGGAGATCCTTTGAACGATCTTAACTATCCTCCCCCATCATCAAATCCATATCCTCACCCTCAGTCGAATTAGTGAAATCTATCGTATAAAAACTAACAATTAAAAAAGAGTAAGTTTGTAAATAAAAAAAAATATATATATATAATATTATTTTTTATACACTCTCATCATTATTTTTGTTTTTGTTTTTTGTTTGTTTTGCCAATAAATAACTGTAATGATATTATTTATCTCTTGTCGTTTATTATTTTTTTAATGTACAAATTATTATACACGGTTAATAAGCGTTTAGGATAGGTTAAAAACGTTATCAAAATTTACAGTGGTATATGTAAACGTATTGTTATAGCGTGTGTATTGTGTGTGTGTGTTGTTTACGTGTGTATGTATGTATGTATTATTCGTGTGTTTGTATCTCATGATAAAATTAGATTTGTTCGAGGCGGGCGAAGAGGAGAGGAGAAGAGAGGAGAGGAGAGAGGCCGCCGACTGTGCTTCCTGTAAATTCGGGATAATACCGACGTTGGCTTTCGCACGGGAGACACATCGTCTCCCGTTTACTCCCCTTTTACTCCCCTTTTACTCCCCTTTTACGTGTTGCGTCAGCGTAACGTTGGCGCCGCATTCGTCTGTCCAAAGATCTTTAGCCTTGTTTACAGTTCCCAAACTCCAACTACGGATCCACGATTATATCGAATTCTCGATTTCGACGTTACGACGAATATCTTCTTCTCAGGTCGTAGACCTACTAAAGTTAAGAGAAAACAGATTTGAACTTTCCCTGGTTTTGTTTTTGTTTTTTTTTCTTTTTTATTTTTTGAATTAAATCGATGAATAATAATGATAATGTATTAATAATATTTTTTGTTTTTATTTTTATTTTTGTTTTTTTCCTGTTCTTTTTTTCTTTTTTTTTGCTTTGCTTTCTTCTTGTTATTTTTGTTTTTGTTTTTTGTTTTTAATTATTATTGTTTTTATTTTTATACGTGATAATATGATAAAATGTACGTTTGCAAGAAGATTTTGTCTTTTTTTTTTTTTTTTTTTTCATATCGTATCAATTTATATTTTGATATATGCGTCATTTATGAAAATTATGACTCGTGATTAGGATATGATTAAATACTACTGTTAATTAAAACTGATTTTGTGACACGTGTCTTTTTCTACTTCTTTTCTTTTTTTTTTTGTTCTCTCTGACGCACAATTTGATGACCTAACAAAAAAAAAAAAATAAAAAAAATAATCATTGACATTTGGGATAATAATCGTTTAGTATTTGCTTTTTTTTTTTTTTCATTGTCTCCTATTTTGTACAATTAGTGAAATTTCTTATATTATTTTACAGTATTATTTGTGTATTATTCTGTTATGATATGAATTTTCATTCTGAAGTGAATTGTCAATTGCTCGAATCTATTTAATTTAAATTCTTTTTTTTTTTCTCGTGAATATAATTTCACGTGTATCAAACGTATGCTATGCACGACCTTTTTAACATATCAGCGAAGGGGTCAATGAAATGGACAAAAAAAAAATTATTATTTGTTCGGGTTACTGATATTCACGAAAAAAAGAAAAAAAAATGATTAGTTATCATTCTCGAGTTGCGAGAGATAAATTCATTAAAATGTTTTTTCGATTAGATATAAAAAAAAAAAAAAAATGAATTTGATTTCGAGAGAAATGTCAAATATAGAATGTATCAAAATATTAGAAGTATAATTTGTTTTTACGTTTGGTCGAATCTTTCTTAGTAGCATGAAACAAGAAACAAGAAACAAGAAAGAAGAAGAAGAAGTAAAAAAATAATGAACAATTAAATTCTTGTAATATATTATCGAAACATATCGAAAAGGTGGTAATTAAATAAAAAAAAAAAAAAAAAAAATTCAATCAAAAGAGTAATAAAAGAACAAAAATGATTAAAAACGTTATTCGCGTTTAAGTTTAGCAAAACGATTAGATATCATTCTCGAGTTAAGATAATAAATTTGTTCAAATATTATTTTCGAAAAAAAAAAAAAAGAAAAGAAAACGTTGATATGGAAAATATTAATCGAAATTTTGTTAAAAAAAAAAATCGTTTAATTTATTTACATAATTTAAATTTGTGTT